ATAAATGTTGTTGGAACTCATTGAAGATAATGTGAATGAAAAATAAATCACAAACAGAAATTTATAAAAACTATAAAAATTTTTTACATAAGGACGCCTTGGCTTTCTACATTTTATGTTCATAAAAGGCTAAAATTAAAATATACAATTTATACTTAGATTAGTTTTAATAAGAAACTTAATTATTTACATATTTCAATGTTTCGATTAAAAAAAACAATTGTTATGTCTATTGGCTAAATTGACTTGAATAAAAGACAAATTAGCACAGACAATAAATTAATAAGATCTTTGATTGTTATAATACTTGCCAGTTAAATAAGAAACTTAATAAAAAGAGATTCATATTATGGGTGTTCTCATGCATCAATCGAGATGCGATTTCATAGTGATCTAAAGTATTATGACGTCATTTTAGCTATTGCAATAACATTTTGGATAATACGAATGACGATATTATTGAATATTATTGAGATATGCTCAAACATTGCTTTTTTAATAATTGTAGTAATGCTCAATTACAACCTCAATCACAAGTTGAGAGGATTCTAAATAGTTTATCGAAAATTTACAAAAAATATGAAAATCCATAATAAAAGCATACAATATTTTATTCATTTTAATATTTATAAAGTTTTGATAAGTCAGGGCAAAAAAAAAGGTGGTTAGGAACAAAAGGTTTTTTGACTGAAATGACAAACTCACCGTTCATTTTTTACTATTTAAACACGTAATAAATTACCTTACTCATCTTAATGACAAGCTCGATTGATCGATTAAAATTATTTTCCGTTAATTAAGATTTAATTCCCGACACATTTTTGTCATACTTTGATCCATTAATTGAGGCGCTTGAAAACGCCCTAGTTCACCGACAATTTCATCGACAAGTTTATTTTACTATTATGATGTTAAACTTTTATATAATTTTCTACGTAGTGAAAAATTTTTCGAACCTGATTTACTAAATTCATCATAATACGTCTATATTTATATTCATTTATTTGTTTAAATATTTCGATATCCTATTCCTATTTATAATTTCTGTAAATATATAAATTTATAGGGTTTATTTATATTAATAGCTTAGCTTTGCCAAAAAACAGATTTTTATCACCAGAGTTTCGTTAATAACAGATTTTTTTAGTAATCTCCACTTTTTTTTTTTTTTTAGCGGGTTTCGTCACCTTAAGTTTGGGGTTTCGACTTTCGTCAGTAATATCGTCAGAAGGATTTAAGGTTTCGTCATTTAGAGCTTAGGTTTCGACTTTTGTCATCAAGCAAAAAAGGTTTCGTCTAACAACTATATTTGTGACTGTCGTCCCGACAGGCCACTTCCTACCCCAATTTAAAACTCAAAAAATGACTTTCGTCCCGACAGGCCACTTTCTACTAAAGCTTAAACTCAAAAATATGACTTTCGTCCCGACAGGCCACCTACTACAACACTCAAAACGTGACTGTCGCCCCTTTCTGACAAAAGCTCTAAACAGCTAAGCAACGGTTATCGTCTTCGATAGACCAAGCTTCGATGGACAACGCTAGAGCTGGGTAGGGGCGAAAAAACCTGACAAAGTCGGGTTAGAAAAAAACAGAAATTACCTTCCCTGGGAAAAATCCCGTTTCCCTTAAATACTACTACTAATAAAATCATGATGAGATAATACATCTGCGCATGAGACAAAGTTCCAGAATCTAATTCCCAAACCTATAATAAGAGTCACATTAAATTTCTTTTTTAACCATGGCAGACTCGAACATTTAACCGATCTCTAATAAACTTGACACTAAAAATTTTAGTGTCAACTTGACGTGAATTAACAAGATTGCGAAATGACAAATTAAAAGCCGCGAAGCTAGAATCGGTCCCGCAGTAATTGTCAGCCGACTTTGAGCAAGATTTATAAAAAATTGGCATTTTTAACCGGCATTCGTCCAATAAATAAAGTCATAGGAAAATAATTTTTCTGTTACATTTTCTAATAGAAGTTTATCGGTTTTTGCATTAGTTTTTGCGTAATTTAAATGGGACCGATTAGCTAAATTTTCTCCACACTGTTCGGTCCCATCAAAACCACTCAAAAACTAATGCAAAAACCGATAAACCTCTATTAGAAAATGTAACAGAAAAATTATTGTTCTATACTTTATTTATTGAACGAATACCGCTTAAAAATGCCAATTTTTTATAAATCTTGCTCAAAGTCGGCTGACAATTACTGCGGGACCGATCAACATCCCTACGCGAAACTATATGAATCCCAAATCTATCCAATCATTGCTATATATTTATTTATCTGACTTATATACATAACAATCGAAATGAATCTAGAAACCAAAAAGCAATAGAAAAGAAAAATATAATATAATAACGAATATTTTATATTGCTAAATTGCAGAATACTGTAAAATAAAATTTTATAATATAGTACAATATCCATGAAAGTCAGTATTATAACATTTTTATTAATTTATCCTTTCAAACCGAACGAGAGACCGTTTGAAAATTATATGACTATGCAATTAACGAATCATTATTGTCTATAACCAAGAAAATTAAGGTAGAATCCGTCAAATAGTAAGTACTGTCTATGAAACCAGGGTAAGTATTTGATAAACCGTCTTGACCTTTCCATTGGATTATAATCTGTGGATGAACTGCATAAGCATTGAGATTCTTTGCTAGAACAAGACTGGCTATCTCCAAATCAGTAGCCACATCCTTATCGGTGTGATTTAATATCAAAGCATCTCTAATAGCTTTTTGGCAGCTGAAGCTGTTATAGCATAAGCATGTGCACATTGAGGATATACTGCAGTGTGCAACTTATTAGCTGAAAAGTTGTTTTTAAGAATTATGGTTTCCTCTACTTTTTCATGGTAGTGTCCAAGATATAACAACTCCCAGTCATTAGGTAAATTACGATGAATACCAGGCATAATACCAGGCATAATAACAAAAATTTTATTTTCATAACACTCTTGTAATCGTGTATGCTTTACTTTTCTCCTAAATACTGTGGATTCTTTATATTGTAAATTACTCCGACATTAGAGCTTTTCGTGGAAAAACTACGAATGTTCGAACTTATTAAAAACCGAAACATGAAGAAAGAGTTGTAATTTAATGTTAAAGAAATGCAAATGATATAAAAAATATTATAGTCACGGTTTATGGATCATGTTCTATTTCGAAGTACTATTTAATTTTAGTACATTAATTAAATTCAGACGAACAATATATTGCAAACAATTTACCTCTCTATCGGCCAAATCTAAGACTGAGGATCCCTTTAATCAGCATATTTTAAATATTATTGATGTGGAAATCGTGGTACGAAACAATCGAATTAAAGTTATTATTAGAAAAGATTATTGGCTTATAAAATCTAGTGATGAGCGGATTTCACCAATACGCCGCGTGGAATGTGCGCATACCCGTGTGATAGATTCTCTAACACTATATATAATTCGCAACTCATACAGAAATCCTCAAAATTTCGGCTCGGAATTTATCAAAGATTCTTTTGGTGCTTTTTTTTAAAAACTTTAAAGTAAGAAAAATTACTACATATCGTCAGCGGTGTTCATCGTATATAATTTTTTGCTAAAACTTAGGGTTGGGTGCAGTTTAAGAAAAAGATAGTGTATATATAGGGATGGTAAAAAAAAATTGTTTAACCTATTTTTCCATCTGTTTAAAACATGTAATGATTAAAATCCAAATACTAATTTAAATAATGCTCACCTGTTTTTTTAATTTATCTTCACCTGTTTTAATTACGTAATGAAAAACATAATAGTTAAACTACATAAATTTACTTTTTTTTAGTAGTTAAAATAATAATAATTACTGTTTCAAGTATGTCTGCGTAGTCAATTAAATAGACTTGTAGATTTGATCGATTCTACTAAGAGTATTTTTGTGATTGCAGGTATATTTGTAGAAAGTAGGGTGAAAAGTCTAAATGTATCATGAAAATTGGGCTTTAGTGTTTTAATTAGTTGGGATTCAGAAAGTGAGGTTTTTGGGGGGTTTGGTTTATTTTTAGATTAGGTACTGTATTGAAATCTCCCATATGGATGATTTTATGATTAGAATTTTGTATAAAATTGTTTAGTTAATTTAAAGTTTCTTTTTTGAGAAAGTGGTTTTCTTTAGTTAAAAAATATATTTGTATTACTTAAATAGAGATTGTAGAAAGAAATAGTATAATACTTAGAATATAATCTTGGTATTCTTATATTTTGCCAATATAGTTGCTAACTGGTTGTATATAAGAAGGCCAACACTACCTTTCTTTGGGTAAGGGATGTATTTCTGAAATACCAAAGATATTTATATTATTTTTGTAATAAAATCTTAAATTAAATTTTGTTTGGGGATTAAGGGTAAACTATTTGAGTTTAAAAAACAAATTTTAAGTTAGTAAGCAAAGATAGAATTGGGTTGAGAAGTTGTTGCTGAGTGTTGTAAAAAGTTAATATTATTAAATAATTTAAATTCCATATTAGCATAGTTATATAAGTTTTCAAAAGATATATAATAAGTATGTTTTTGTAAGAGAGTTTTATAAGGAAGATATACAGTCTGATTTTATTATAATCACTAGATTATGAAACAAAATTTTGGTAATATAAAAAGTTGTGACTAAATAAAGGTTATATTTTATATGTTTTATAATAGCTAGACTAAAAAAATAAAGTGATTATAACAAGGTTGTAACCATATAAAGAGTAACTATAATGAGATCAAACTATATATATACTTTTGTATATCTATTTATAAAAATAATATATATTAACTTGAGGGTTGATCTTTAGTATAGCTAGACAATATAGAATTATTATAAGATTATAATATATGAAAATAACTATCTAAACAAAATTATAAATAGTTAGAGTTAGAGTAAGAGTTATAGTTTATAGTTCAGTTTAAATTAGAGTTAAAATAGAGTTAAAGTTTTTTTATATTATAGTATAATATTTTAATATTGCCTAGCTATACTAAAGAAAATCTAACTTAAGTAATATACTAGATAATTTTTTTCTATATAGAGTAGAAAAGAGTCTATTGTTTTACCCAAAGGTAAGTTTTAAAGTCTATAATAAAGAAGAAATTTGTTATAATATATTAATAGATTATATATTTTTACTAAGTTGTAATAATAAATAGAAGTGTCTAGTTAGGTATTTTTATTTTAAAAGATTTTTTCTAAAAAATTAGCATTCTAATTAGATATTAAAAGTTTTTTATTTGTTTAGTTTTTTGAATATTACTTTAGCAGAAGATAATAATATATAATTTAAAATAGTTAAAGTAAAATCTTTTGTGTTAGTTACTATATATTTAACTTGTATAGCTTTATAAAAATTAAAAGTTTTTTGATTATTTGCTAGAAAACTATTATTATTTAAAACTTTTAAATAATAAACATATTTTTTAAAAAACAAACTATTATTAAATATAATAAATTAAAGTATAGCAACTTAGTAAAGTAGTCTAGTTATTATTCTACCAAGTAGCAAATTTAGAGTTTAAATCTCACAAATGATAATTTCAAAAAAATAGACCTGTGTTTAATAACAATTATCTGGTAATTGGTTGGATCTAGAATTTGTAATTTTAATAATACTATCTTAAATAGAAGCTTATATATATAAATGCTAAATGAATTTGGAACCAGAGACTGAGATTGGAGAACCAAGCGACCAGGTCCTTAAGTGGGAGGACACACCAGCCGAACCGCCGGGTCACCAAACTGGAGGAAAAGGACATGTGCTCTAGAAGCATGTACCAAGGGAAGGAAGACCATATAGACACCTAAAGTCTAGGTGAACCAACCCTTCCGGGTTGCCGGCTG